GATGGGGAACAATTTCAAACTTTTAAATAATTTTTTTTTGGTCCTCTCATCATTGATTTTAGTCCACATAGTATTAAATATTGACCAAATTCTATAATCAATTTTAAAATTAATTAGCCTTTGATCGTTCCATCTATCTTGGATCAATTCAAGTATAAAACTTTCCTTATTAGGAAAGTAAAATTCTAATTTATCGATCTTAGAGACAATATTAACAATATCATCGGTATTTCTACCTTTTGAACGTAATAATTTGGTTACTTCCTCTGAATTTTTTGGCAACTCTGTAACCATTATACCCAAAAATTAAATTAATCTAATTTACTGATGCAGCTACTTCTACTATATCTTTTTTCTTATATTACCTTTATGAGATGAGATTCTTGAATTAATCTTTCTCTTCTTGTTCTCCTCCACCGATAAACAAATCAATCAACAGTACATATATCGATATATCTCCAACGTCTTCAAATATAGCACCTAAATCAATAGAACTTGAACCCTGAATATCTTTATTCAGACCTTCTCCTTCAATATATTTAATGTAATGAGTTTTGTTATCTTCTGATTTTTGGAAAATCGATGAGATGAGCTTTGAAAAAAATTGTTGATGTAATTTTTTACATGGACCTCGAAATTTTTACACATTCTATAACGATCAAAAAGAAAAAAAAGAATTGTGAAATATTTCAATACATTGACAGAACAGAACAACATTAAAAGGAAGATTTGATATTTATAACTTTGAGAATCAGATCATCTAAGTGTGAGCTGTGTGGGGTGGATTGGCATTGTTTAGTTATATGCTTTTTGTAGTCGAAGGATTTGATAATTTGATTTGAAAAGAGGAAAGATAACCTAACAATACCAATATTAACTATAAATACAAATATAAAAATAAAAATAAAAATAATAAAAAGATGACGGAAACATTGGATAATACCCAGGATTTGTTGATGGATGTTGATAAATATAACTTTTGGGAAGTTGAAGGAGAAGATGCAGCAGGTGAAGTCAATTCAAAAGATATGGATATGGTTGGTGTTGATGAAAAATCTGGAGCACCTGTTTTCAGATTGACAGATAATAATGATGAACAGCCATTAAATGAAAATGAAAATGGTAATTTTAAATTCAAGATGAATACAATTGCAACAGAAAACATGGCATATCTAACTGAAAAAGATAAATATAAACTCTATCCTTCAAAGGTTCCAGGTTATGATAATAGCAGGGAATATTCAAGTTATGTTTCAAAAGTATTTGAATTATATAATGATTTAGATGAACATAGGGTATATTCTGCCCCTACAATTGGTATTATAAACAAGTCATATGCAAGGGAACATAATTACGTATTGAACGTTGCATTTGAAAGTTTTGTTACAGAGTTAAACTTTTTCATTGAATCAATTAAAAATGATCCAAACTTAATTAATAGAGTTTTACAACTAGAAGAATCTATCACTATATTAAATTGTTTAAAGACTATTCATTTCACATTTGATTCCTTGCAAAATGAAAGCGATTCAAGAGAACAATTTGTTAATTCATTAATAGATTGGGTAAATCGTTCCGATGGTGAACCAAAGGAAGAATATATTGAACAAATATTTACTAGGAATGACAACATTGAAGTATTTAATACTCTACAATTTTGGAAATTAGTTAATAAGTTACTTCTACGAGGCTTATTTGAACAAGCACTAGGTTGTTTAGAGAGATCAAAAATAATGGACTTTTTAAAATCTCAATGTGAAGTATCAGCTAATATATTGGGCGACGCAATTGCATTATTAGAACAGTATCCAATAGATTCATCTGAAACATTTAGAGAATGGAAATTTATGGTGCTGGGATTGCAACAAACCTATAGTAACTCAAATACTAAGATAACGGGCGAATTAAGAGATTATATCGAAGATACATTATTGTTAATCGGAGGTAATCAATCAAAATTGTTACAATATTCATCGACTTGGTACGAAGCTTATGCCAGTTTTTATTTATATTATATCCCTACTTTAGAATTATCCCATGATTATTTGGAATTGGCATTAAGCACACATCCTCTAGATCTAACGAAGAATTGGGAACAAGCATGCGTCAATATTATTAATAATAAAATATATTCTATTCTACCTGTGTTGGAGTCATTAGATTTGTGTACAGCAGCTACAACAGCAGCATTATGCGAAGCCAAGGGTATTTTAGAGAATTTTCTGGATGACGATACAAAAACCTTCAAGGGCAATGTCGATAAATTGGTTACACCAGTTCACGGAATGGCCTCATATCTCTTAAATCAATTTGCATTTGAATTATGTTCTCAGGAAGAAAAGACACTATGGCCTGTTGCAATAGGTTTAATCAGTATCTCGCCCTTTGAATCAGCATCTGTAAAGAGAACAACGATATCTGAAGTCCTTCCTCGCTTCCCATTTTCTACAAATGATGATATTGAATGGATGTTAGCCGTCTGTGCAAAATGGAGATTACCAAAGATAGCAAAAAAGATATACAAAATTCTTGGTTCTAAATTACAAGCTGAGGGAAATGTAATTGAATCTATGACCAATTTCAGTAAAGCTGGAGAATTTGACATAGTGAAAAATCAATCGTGGTTACTTTTTGAAGAGGCGGTTTTTAAAGGTGAACCGTTAGATGATGTCGTATTGAACTCAGTTATTACAAATAATTCGAACAATATTATTCCGGGTGAATTATTAGATAGTCTTGTTACCAATGCGATGAGACAGACTTTATCACCATATGCTGTTTTATATGAATTTTTCCAAGCGAAGTTTGCCGGTGAATGGGAAAAGAGTCTACAATTACTATTAGCACTTTTGGAATTTGAATTTTTGCCAAAACACTATTTATTGCTATTATTAACAAAGTTTTTATTCCCATTGTATTTGAATGTAGATAATGTCAAAATGGATGAAAGTTCGATATTACGTTCAATCAATTGTATTAATAAGAAGCTTGACTGTGAGGATGACAAATCTAAAAAAATGTATGAGGTTGTTTTAGAAAAACAACCTTCCAAATTCAAGATTCTTCCCGCTGACCTATCTCAGTTTAGCAATATGGTAAGAGAAAGATTGAGTATTAAACTTTGCCAAGAATTCATGTAATGATAAGTAAATAAATATAATCTATAAATGTCATCCAACTTAATAAATATATACTAATTTAGTCATTATTGCAAAAATTTATCCTTTTGTTGTGATTGAACTATTTATCTAATTAGTCTTTTCAATTAATTTATATATTTATGTATGTATATTAACATATAACGTCTTGTGTGGCTCTTGAGTTCAGTAGTAAAGCTACAATTAAACCATATAAACCTAAAACTTCAGCAAAAATCAAGATTAAGATCATACCAACGAATAATCTTGGTTGCTGTGCAGTACCTCTAACACCAGCATCACCTACAATACCAATAGCAAAACCAGCAGCTAATCCACTTAAACCAACTGATAGACCAGCACCAAGTTGAATAAACCCAGTATATAGGGCTTGTTTTTGAGTTAAAGAAGAAGATATCAAGACTGATACCACTAACCCATAAATGGCAATAATACCAGCCATAACAACAGGAACAACATTTTTAATTAATAAATCAGGTCTTAATACACAAGTTGCACAGATACCAACACCTGATTTAGCAGTACCATAAGCTGCCCCTAAAGAGGTGAAAATAATTGATGCTGCACAACCAATAGCACCAAAAAATGGTGCATATACTGGACAAAGATCAGTACTCATTTCAAATAGCTGATTTACTCTTGACACGTATCTTAAATCTAGTAATTAGTCACTAAACTTAACTATATCGTTTTCTTGATTCGAACAATTCAAATCAATGCAATCAAACAACTTTCTAGTATTGCTATTTTTTGGTAATCTAATATAAAATCAACAATTAGACTAAACGAAAGCACAAATATATATATAGATATATATATATGGATATATGTATGTGTATGTTTGATTATTTAAAATAAGTTATACCCCCCTCACATAATTAAACTAGAAGATATTTGATTTTAATCTTTAAAGCTTTAAATAACTTTTTTTTTCCATTGTCATTATTTTTTCAAATTTGCTTTTAAAGGCTTTAAATTCTGATATTGCTAAAGCGTGGGTACTAAAAAGATGATGATAATGATATTGAGTTTAAAGTGATGTTAAGGAAGATTTTAAATGTCAGTAAATAATATTCTTTATTATGAAGGGTATTATGGGTACTTTTGGGATTGTTTTAGCAAGTATGTTTTATTTACAAATGATTACTTGCAATGACTGTTTTTTAAGTTTGTTGCAGGTGGCAATGCATTAAAGGCCACTGTTCTCTTCACCTTAAAGATAAGGTAATTGGGTAAACGCAAATACACTCTTTAATTTGATTAGGTTATCAAGACACCAAATTATCAGCAGGACAGTTTATTTTACTTTATTTTATTCTTTCATATTATATAGATTATATAGAGAGGGAGAGATATACCAAGAAAAGGAGTATGGGAGGGAGAGGGAGAGTGACTTCATTTTCTGGGATGGGTATAATCTCATCAAATGGTCTGTAAGCTGAACTAAAAATCCAAGAATCCAAATAACAACTGTCTTGAATCAAAACTAACAAACGGCACATTCCTGAACATTCAATTTTGGCACTATCTTCCGGAAGCAAACATGAAATATCAGCCAAGGATCTAAACGCTTCCCGCCCACGGGTTCTGATTGAATCCCAGGATGGATTGTACCAGGGATTGCAATGGGGAATAATTTAAAGATTCCTGGAAAATTCCTGGAAAAAAAACTAAGGTGTTCCCAAAAAAGAAACCCTTTTAAACTTTTTTCACCAGGCGCAAAATATACCCCTTTTAAACCCGAAA